AAAAAAGTGGCTATAGAGTCATGTGCTATTCATTATATCTGTGCTCATATTCAGAAATATAAAAAATGTTTAAGTTATTGAAATCGCTAATAAAAAATGTTCCCGTTTAAGCATGATTGTGTATTTTATAGTGTGGCTCAAGTAGTTTTCTAAATTCTTTTTGACTTCAGGATAGTTCCCAGTACAGTCTGTGAACTTAAAGAATATGATGAGATTTTTAATTTCAGCTTGTGTTTGGTTACATGGTAGTACAGTATTCATGCTAAATAATATTAAAATTGGTCATTATAATCTTTTCTCTAGCATAAGCTTAGTTTATTATGCATGCTACTGCGTGTTGGTACTTCATTGTGAGAAATCATTGAAATTGTCTTATACTGAATGGAATTGCTAGATTTTTTCATGTTTTTGTATTTACAGATATCTGCCAACAGATGGGCCCAATGATAGATGAAAAACTTGAGGAGATTGATAGGTAAGTTTTTTAAGCAAAGAATAAAAAATGGTTATCATAGCTTTACTTGTTCTTTGCAAACTTAGAACTAGTGAGAGTTTTTGTAGAACTGTATTATGTGGTAAAATTATTTTTTCAGTTTCCCAAGTTCATATAAGGTAATAGCAAGGTGGTAGTTTGTTATTTTGATAGGGATTTTTTTTTTTTAATCATGCCAGCATTGTACTATACATAGTTTGTGGACTTATGTTTTTATCACACCAATGATTTTTCCCTTGGGCTTGAATTGAGGGGATAGTGAGTGATGGAGAATAAAACAAGAGAACAAAATGAAACCAGACTCTTGGGTTAGTCTTCTTTTCACTTAGGGAAGTGTATTTTGCAGCGTGGGAAGCTAATCCAATGCAACAGTTTCTCATATGGTCCCCCTTCTTTGTATTTGTTTCCCTTTTGATTATCCAACTGACTATTGCTTAGAAATAGCAGAAGCACTAGTGAACTATTTCAGAAGCTAAGATTTTAACTTGATTCTGCTTTTTTTCTCTGATTCCTCAGAGCTTCCTATGAAGCTTAGAGATAGAAGCCATTGTGAGTGGAAGACAAGGGATAAGGCCTTCCTTATTTCTCAGCTGTCCTCCTTTCTAGCCTCTATTTGTTTTTGTTTTGTTTTGTTTTGCTTTTTTTTTTTTTTTTTTTTTTTTTTTGCAGTACTAGGGATCAGACTCAGGACCTTGTGCTTGCCAAGCAGGCACTTAACTATTGAGCTGTCTCCCTGGCCTTCCAGCCTCCATTTGTTGAACTACTATATAAAAAAGCACAAGGAGAAAGGGATGAAGTAGGACCAAAGTTTAGAAGAATAGGAGCCCGTTTTCCCCTCTGTGAGAGAAGTGCCATAGTAGCAGGGTTTTCTTTGCAATCACTAAAGATTATAAGTTTTGGGGCTAGGGAGATAGCTCAGCAGCCCTAGCATCTGCCTGAAAAGTGCAAGGACTTGGGTTTGATCCCCACATGCCGTGCCAGCCCCACTCTGAGCTGCAGAGTGAGACTCTTTACCAGAAGTAAATTCCTGCAACAATTAGTGAAATGTTGCTTATTTTAGAGAGAACAGTAAATAACTACTTAGACATGGTTATTAATGGTTACTGAATGCAAGGTTATTAATGGTTACTGAATGGTCAAACTGAGAAAGCTTGAAAAGAAAATACACTCAAAAGAAAAACAGGGTTTGGGGATATAGCTCAGTGGCATAGTACCTGCCTTGTGACAAGCACAAGATCCTGAGTTTGATCTGTGGTACCAAAAATAAAAGAAAAGAGAAGAAAAAAGAAAAGAAAAAGAAAAATGGTTAGTAGTACCCTAGGTGTGGGTAGGAGAATATTTAGAAACTTTTCTGCAGCCTAAAAGTAGTCGTCTTTTATCTAACACAGTAATTTCAAGCCCATACTAAATATTTTAGGACATTATGTAAATATTTAGCTAGTAAGGGTTCATCACAGTGTGATTTATGACAACAAAATTGAAATTAACTAATATATTCATACATTTTACACTAGTAAGCATTGTCCTTGATATATATCTCTGATATGGAAAGGTGTTATGTATAGAAAAAAAGACAGAAGACAAGGCATCTTTTTTTTTTTTGTGGTACCCGGGTTTGAACTCAGGACCTTGCACTTGCCAGGAAAGTGCTTATTCTACTGAGATATGTCCCTGGCCCAAGATAATATAATCTTAATTTTGTTGACTAAAAGAATGTTATTAGGGCTGGAGAGATAGCTTAGCAGAGTAAGCGCCTGCTTAGGCAAGTTCAGAGACCAAGGTTTGATCCCTGCACTGATTCTGCGCCAGTTCCGACCCCAGGCGCACTGAACCAGCGACCTTGTCCAGGCCTGGTGGCGCAAGCCTGTAATCTCAGTGCTGGGAAGGCTGAAAACAGGAGGATCACTATGAGTCCAAGCTGCATGGTGAGACTGTACCACATACATAAAAAATAAAATAAAATTTAAAAAGAATGTCGTTAAAACTCAAAATGACTTCTGCTCAGTTAATTTTTGAATGAGAGCTCATTTGTTATCAGTTCTTTTACCAGTTTGTTTTTGATTAAGTCAACTGGCGTGCTCTTGGTCACTGACTGCAGATGCATCTTCTGTTCTGGTAAATAGTTCACTGTGCTTTAACAGGTTTTTATTGACTACTCCTATCAGGAATCTAAAGATGAATAAAATGTTTCTTTTCTTAAATGGGTCATCAACAGCTTGTATTCCTAAGAAAAACAGCTCTGCTATTAGAAAACTAAATTGCTATTTCATGTTAGTCTGTCTTTGTACAGTATAGTTTTGTAGCATTTATCATACTAAGCACTTGTATTAGCTAGACATGTAAACTGCAAAAAGCAGTTAGATAGTTTTAATGAAGGGAGTTAGATAGTTTTAATGAAGGGAGATCCATTGTTTGCACTTGACTGTGTTCCAAACTGTTCTAATATGATTTCCTGCTATTCCTCAGAAAAGATTTTACTGCCCTGATGAAGATCCATTTTTCATCCTTTCCCTGGATAGTCTGAATGCTCCTTTTGCCTGCCTTTATTGACCCTGTCCCACCAGCTTGACAAAGGCTTTCCTTTTGGCTTGCCCTGTCTATCCTACGTAAGGGCCAGCTTAAGTCCCAGCTTTGCCCTTTCAGTTTACCACAGCCCAAATTAATTCTTCTGCTCTCTATCTAGGCCATATAATTTTGAATTCAGTTGTATATTATGTGCTGTCTTTCATGTTCTTAACCTTGTCTCCCCAATAGATTGTGATCTCTTTGAAGAACAGAATCATACTTTCTGCTTGTTTTTCTTTAGTATAATTTTAGACATAGTTCATTAAAAATTTGGTGTTGCTTTGAGGTTATGTCTCAGATCTTTAAAAGTGATAATGGAGTACAATGATTATGGCTTCTCTTGATATTTCATTAGCATAATGGGTTGTGTGTACCAAATTCTTATGGTTCTTAGTCACACATGTTAGCATGTATTCTTAACTTCTGTAGCTTTGGGTGGTTTGCAGTTGATGTTTCCAAAAATAGTTTGACCTGCTTTATATAGTCATTCATGCAAGAGAGAGAGAGCAAGCACTTCTTTTTTTTTAACTCAAGCATAATAGATTCTAATAGAGGAAAAGTAAAAAAGGTTTCATAGAGTCAATCCATGTTTCTACTTGGTTGGCCTTGTATCTGTTTGCTTCTCTTGTCTGTGTTTATATAGAAATAACCTCATCCATTAAACCAGTTTGTGGATGCTTTAGGGCAATTAAAAGCTGATCATTTTTTAAAAATTGTCAGTTGCAGAAATAATTGCTAATTACTCTCAGGGGAACAGATAAAATTGTACCAAGTCAATACAAGCTTATACAAGCTCTTCAGTTTCTATGGCAAATAATCAAAATACCATTTGGGCAAATAAAGTACTTGATTTGACTTTCTCAAAACCAAGAAACCAGAGCCAGCAGTATAGCTCAGGGGACTAAGTGCATGCTTAGGTAAGTGCAGGGGCCAGGGTTCGATCCCTGGCAATGCATGCCATGCCGGCCCCCCTCCTGGGCACACTGAGCCAGCAGTGGAGTCCGGAAGTGGTGGCACATGCCTGTAATTCCAGCACTAGGGAGGCAGAAATCAGGAGGATAACTATGAGTCCAAGCTGTGTAGTGAGACCCTGCACAAAGAAAAAAAAAAGTTAAAAACAAATCAGTAAAAAAGAACAGTAGAGATCAGCTTGTCTACATTTTTACTTGTATTTTTGAGGATGATTATTAAAATATATTTAAGTGAAAATGTAGTTTTTTAAAATGACCAAGCTTTTATTTTAGTCATATTTCAAAGAGGTTCTAGGCCTTACCTAAATACTTCCTTTTACTGAGATTTATAATTAGGACTGGGACTCTTACCTAAATTGAGAAACTTATTTTTCTTTATAATTGAATTTTCAACAGGAACCTATAATAATTAAACTTAATTTTCCTAGCACCAGAATTATGAATTGATTGCTTTTTATCAGATAAGTTATATCAACCTTGCTATTAATTAATTTATTCCAGTTTTCTTTTGAGTATTTTCACTGTATCTAAAAAGAACCTTTTAAAATATGAGTAGGAAATGTGCTAAATTTAAAAAATAATTTACATTGCTAAATACATGCCTAAAAAGAAGAGTATGAAAATGCTTTTCTTCTGCATCAGGAAGCATTCAGAATTGTCCGAATTGAATGTAAAGGTCTTAGAAGCTCTGGAACTATATAACAGATTGGTGAATGAAGCACCGCTGTACTCAGTCTATTCAAAGCTCCATCCTTCAGCGCATTACCCATCCACAGCAGCTGGGGTTCCATTGCAGGTGAGCATGTTTTTTTTTAATATTTATTTATTTTTGTGTGTGTGGCCAGCTCAGCCCACCAGGGGGCGGGGCTGGCTGGCATGTGGTGCTGGGGGATTGAACTGCAGTCCCTGTGTTTTGCTTAGTTTAGCTTGTTCTAAGTAGGTGCTTTAGACCACTGAGCCATCTCACCAGCCCCGAGCATGTTTTTTTTAAACATTTTTCAAAATTATAATTTTAATTTTTAAGAAAACAGTTTAAAGCATGGTATTCATTTCTGTGGTCCATGTCTTTGATGGTTTCAAGAAATATTAGCTAAGCAATTAATTTAACCACAACAAATTAGATATTGATATTTCAGAAATACATTTTGTTCAGTTTTATTTTCAAAAGACCATTAAAAATATGAGGTAATTCTGAATTTTTCATATGCTTCTATAAGAGCAAAGCACCAATACTCACGTAAATATAAATCCTCTTCGTAAGTATAAAATACAAACCCTCTCATTTAGGGCCTCAAATATCACATGCCTTCTGGGCAAGGTACTGGTACTATTCGTGATCTTCACCAAGGTAGAACATTTCTTGCAAAATCTTTTTCAGGATTTGTTTGACTTACGTTATTATGAAAAGATTTGGTTAATGAACTTCAGTTCTTAGAATATGCATTGTATTTTCTGAGACACTTAAATTTATGAAGATTTGTGTATAATGAAGATATGCAGGTCTGTGAGGGATAGATGTGATAAGCCATTTATAATCTGCATCTTTTTTCTGTACTTTTTACCTTTTTGTGCTTGCCAGCTGACATGAATATTTTAAATACTTTTCCAAATTTTAGCCAATTTATAAACTCAGAATGAACTTAAATGAGCAAAATTCCTATTAACTTATGAGAACTATGTAATTTGTAAGAAGTGTGAAGGAGACACCAAAAAGCAAAAGCAGGATGTGGGTACGTAAATTAGATGATGTAACGTTATTATTAAGTTAAAACATGGTTATTTTGGCAACTTGCATAAGAGAAGATGCACTTATCAAGTATGTCAGACCCAGACTTTAAAAAATTACATAGTAAGAAGAACATGGATGGAAAGATGCTGGAGTTTAGTATTGCTTCTGTTTTCAGAGCTGCTCATTGCTGCTGTGAAATGAAATAAAAAAAAAATACTACCTTGGTTCATAAGTGCTTATGTTTGCAAATTCTGTGTAGTGACAAACAGAACTACAGCTGTCTTCCCCACACATATACAACCATCTTCCCCAAAATTGTAAGAAACTAAGTTTGTAAACCAAAGTAGTACTATAGAAGTATCTCTGTCATTGGGTGATAGGTAAGCATATTTGCTTCTTTGTGTTTATAAAGGATTGTCATTCCTGTTTCAGGTTTTTATGTTTAGTTGCATTCTATTTATAAATCTGTTTTGTTAAACCCAACTTTTTTTTTTTGGTTGGGGGTAGTGGTACTGGGCATTGATCCCAGATTAGACTTGAATTAGATACTCCTCCTGCCTCAGCCTCCTAGACTGCTACAAGTATAGGTGTGCGCCACCATGTTTGGCTAACCACAACTAATTTCACTGAAGTTAACGTTCTATTGGTATTATTCTTCATATAACCTCTATCAACACTGTTGACATGGAAAGAGTACATGAAATTTGGTATGGTAGCACACATCTGTAATTACAGCTCCCTGGGAGTCTGAGGCAGGAGTATCACAGATTTAAGCCCCATCTTGGGCAGTTTAGTGAGGCCCTGTCTCAAAAAAAAAAAAAAAAAAAAAGAGGGGGAGTGGTTGCTTAGATAGCTCAGTGTGAAGTTTCTATTCTGCTTTGAAAAATAGCTATACTAGACACAGGCGATGCAGCACACCACTTGTGCTACAAGACCACTCAGAACCTAAGCTGCAGAACGGGTCTGTTCTCACAGTCTCCACTGTTTTCAGTGGGTTGCTGCATGTCATCCAAGGAGGTTATGTGATTGCACTTCATGTACTTTATTTGGCAGAGCAGCATTCTACATCTTCATGTGAATGGTCTTTGTTTTAAAAATAGCCTTTATATTTATGAGACATGTGCATTGTTTTTAATGTCGTATAAGTAGACAGAGTAACTCTGTCTTAAAGAAGCTGTTACTATGCAAACTAAGTAGGGCACAGATAAACATCCTGTCACCAGGTTTTACCCCAAAGGATACATCTCATCCCCTACCCGTGGCTCTTCCTTTCTTGTCCCGTTGGTTTTGAAGGTAGGAGATCCTATAACAGACATGGCTGTTGGGGGCCTGGTGTCCTAATATCATCTCTTCTCCGACATTTTCTCCTATATCAAGGAGTGGAGAGAGTGAAGGTCATCATTGTCATGAAGACCTAAAGTGCTGGTGGACTTCGCTTCAAGGAAGTTCTGTGGCTTTGTGGCAAGACACACAGTTCTGAGTAATGGGCACTCTGGATGGATTCCAACTCAATATGTACAAATACACTACCTTTCTCCTTTCTTGTCCTCTTCCCAGTCTCCTTCAAAATACAAGAACAGTAAAGCAAATCATATACAGTATTTGGCACTGTAATTTGTAAACTTTTCACATTTTGCTCTGGGATGGATAGTTTGGTGGAATCAGATTGCTTCCACCAAAAACTATAACATTGTCTTTTTAAAGTCTGTTAAAATTTTAGACATTCCAAGTAGTTGTTTGAGAGAGCAGTGCCTCAACTTTGTCTTTTTGGTTGCTAGACATACCCAGTTCAGTCACATGGTGGAAACTACATGGGTCAAAACTTTCACCAAGTAACTGCTGCCCAAAGCTATACCTTAGGACCAGATCATATTAGTCCTTTGCGATCTCTACCTCCAAATGTGAATTCTTCATTAACAACGCAGCCTGCTCAAACTCCATATTTAAGGTAAGTTTTAGGGAGCTGTATTGATTTTTGTAAACTTTGAAAATGTATAATCTTTCTCTTTGAAGTAATAATCCAGATTTTAATTCTTAAGACAAAATTATAGAAGTTCTTGTTCTTTTTTTTTTTTTGGTGTTTTAAGGAGGGGTCTACAGGATGTTCAGGGTCTCACTACTAGATCGGACTCAGTGATTCTCCTGTTTACAGCCTCCCAAGTGCTGGGATTACAGGCACACACCACCACACCCAGTCTCAATTGTCTCAGTGGGGTGCCCTGGGGGTGGGGCCAGCATGGCAGGCCCAGGGATCAAACCCCTGGCCCCTGCGCCTGCTTGCAGATGCTTTAATCTGCTGAGCTATTTGACTGGCACTGGAAGTTCTTATTCTTACTTTTCATTTTATTTTTTGTGGTACCAGGGATTGAACTCAGTACCTTGTGCTTGCCATCTCCCCAGCCTTGAAGTGCCTGTTCTTAAAGTGGGATAGGGTTGCTCTTGGCTTTCCTTCTATGATGGGTTTCCATACTTAAGCCTACTGTTTTGGGTTTCTGGACAAAATGAAGCTTATTGTCTTTTATGGAGACTAAAGCCCTGGAGAGGTTTAGCACAGTAGTATAATCCTTGTAGACTTTCTTATCTGCATTTTCCTTTTAGAAAACTATTGTCAGTTTGACCTTTAAAAGGAAGTATGTTTGAGCTGTGGAGTTTTTATATGAACACTTTCCTGAATTTCACTTTAAATCTTTTCTTCTGTTCACTTTCACCATAGAAAATGTTTATTCAGTATAATCATGGGTACATGATTTCTAAGGTCCCTTTTCACTCTTAAACTCCATGAGTGTGTATTTAGACATTACTTAAAGATTAAATAAGCCGAGACTGGGTGTAGTGGCACACTCCTATAATCCCAGCTCTTGGGAGCCTGTCAACAGGCGGATCACTACAAGTCCTATCTAGTAGTGAGACCTTGAACATGCTGTAGACCCTTCCCTAAAATACAAAAAAAAAAAAAAAAAAAAAGGAAAAGAAAAATTAAACAAGCCTATTTATTTTAGTGTTTATTTAGATTTAAATAAAATGTTGGTATTTATAAAATTTTGTTACATTGAGTAACAGAGGTCATAGGGAAAAAAACCCTTGTATATTGCAAATTATTTAAAATTAAATATATATATTTTTTAAGGTAAGTGAACACATTTTTATTGTTCAAGAGAAAAAACATTTTATTAGTAAAGCAAATATCAACAGATACCAGTATAAACAATAGGAAGCTACACCGGTGTTTCTTTTCTATACAATAAGTTAAAATGTTCAATATCTAAGCATATTTTAACTTCCTTAATGGAAGTATAAAGCATTACACAGAACACTATACCATATTTAAGCCAACAAGTAAATCCTAACAAGTGGCCTAGATAATAAGTATATAAATTATCTTCCATATTAGAATTTTCTCTTTGGAATCCAAATGACATATAAATTTAAAAATATCATTATAATTTTAATCTCTCACTTTTAAGCATTCAGCTAGAAATTATTTTATACAAGTTTTTTAGAGGATTTCCCTCAGAAACAGAGAAAAATGTTTTTATCTGTCTCGTGAAATTTTGTATGTTTTCTCTATTATGTCTTTTGATATTAATTCTAAATTGACAGAACACTTAAATGAAGTGAATTATACTTTCTCTTGCCAAAAACTAGGAAAGCTAAAATTATTTTTGATCTATTAAATCTAGTGTCTTTCATCATTAGATATAAAGTATGTTAACCATCTTAACAAGTTAGGTAAGTGTGGATCATGTAAAATGAAATTTTGTAAATAGTATACTATGCAGTAAAAGCTTAGTAAAATTAAATCCTGTAAAATTAAATATATTTTAAAAGAAAAGTATACCATAGCAGATTCAGGAGAAAATGGAAATCTTGCATTTTGTGGAGAGTTTTCAGCTTGGTTTGGTCTGTGTTAGTAGTAGTGGTGATAAGTAAATCAGTCTTCTGTACTTCTCCCTGGGTAGACTGTGGGTCCTAGGCAAATTACAGTTCTATCTTTGTAGTGAAAGGTCCCTACTAACAGAGATCTTGAAGAGTGGTGAGAAAGTGCTGGGTTGGGAGGTGAGGAGGGACAGTATGGTCTGAAACACCATCTGGAGCCATGGCTCCATTCTCATGGGACCAAGAAACAGGGACCCTGGCAGAAACAGTTTGTGCCCCTTAATGTTTTGATGTCTTTTGGTGAAAGATGTGCTGATTTTTTTTTTTTTTTTTTAGCATTCTTCTATTCTTAGAAAATGTAGAATTACATTTACAGTTCTTGATACCTGTAATGATTAAATAGTAATCAGAGAAGCAGAGCTGCATAGGCTCAGAAAAGGCATTTTTTGTCATGACAATTGATCTCTGACCATAATCTAGATAATGCAAAATACATATGATTTTTCTCTTTAAATTTTATTTGTAGCACTGGACAAGACACTGTTTGCAGTCCTTACATGAACCAGAACTCTAACCTCCCATCAGCTACTGGTGCGGCCGCTTACACCCCGCAGGTGGGGACGTCCGTGGATGTGTCACCCTACCAGAACACTCCTTGCAGCCTGCCACAGCTGGTGGGCTTTCCGGTGGCAGTTCCGGCTCACTCCGTTGCACAGCAGCAAACAAATTGTCAGCAGCAGCCTCTCCTTTAGAGACAAACGGCTTTCTTGAAAGCCTTAAGTGTATCTGGGAATCCTAAAACTTCTTTCCTTTCAACTCAAAAGGACCATGAATAAATAAAGCACAAAACCTATCTTACCCTGAAGGCCATAAAAGGATTTTTTTTAGTCCAGAGTGTTTGAAGTCGGTGTTGTGATCAGAGGCAGCTTAAAGGTACTGCTAGTTGGATTTCTTGTACTTTCAAATGTCTACATGAATCTGGACAACCAGTAGATAGCCCTATGACACTAAACAGGATGGGATAGGAGTGTAAAAGTTTTATTTTAAAGAAAACATTGTTTCCCCCTACTGTGTCATGATAAGAGCACTGGAGACCGTTAAATATTTTTTGTCTGTATGTTTTTGTCAGGGCCTTCCACACACTATTGTTTTAAAAGGCAAACGTGCTTTTGGGTGAGCATTTAGCTTGCCAAAGTATTTCCTTTTGGCTCCTTAATTTGCAGTTGTGTTTGCAGTCCTGTCAGTTTTTTTGTCAGTGTTATGTTGAGTAACAATTAGCATATAATTGTCTACAGAAGCAAGAGCAATTGGGAAGGAATAAAAATGTTTTCTCGTCCTAACAGTGAAAACCATGTAAATGCAGGTGTGTGATAAAGCATTTAGCTTGTCCCCTGACCTCAAAAAAACATGGCCAGTCCCAGGGGAAATTATTTCCTGCAAGCATCCCTGGTATTTGGAATTAACCACCAATGACCTTTTCAAGTGATTTTTGGCCATTGTCTTATGAAGATATGATCCATTTGTTTTCCTTCCTACAGTGTGTTATGCTGTATTTCCTTTTTAGGATTATATGAAACATTCCTAATAATTTGATGTGATGTAAACCAAGTATGGGTGATTGGTGTGTTTTTATTAATGTGTATGTTTCTTTAAGAAGTGATTTGTTCCATTGCTAGGCTGTCATCAGGATAAGTTGTTGAAAAGTTTTTTCATTCATTTCAGAAGTAGTTCTGAGCCTTTGGAATTCCACATACTGTAAAAGTTGGTAGCAAATCAATAAGAATTGTTTTGTATTGAAGAAATTTACGCAGTACAACATAGAAAATGCAGATAGGTATGGTTATAGATATATATTATTTAGGCTGGCAAAAATACTGGACAGAAGTTTAATTTGTAAGAAATTAAAACTTTTTGCATGGATACAAAATTTCTATATTTCTTTTTAAAGTACTTAATCTTTCTACAAAGAGCCCATTTGATGACATTTCTGGGAATTTTGTCATTACCTATTTACAGAAATTTTATTATAAACATGTTCCTTTTTCAAAGAAACTATCCTATGACAAAATTTGGAAGTTTAATGCCCGCCACTATGTTGTTTCTGATACAAGTATGAAAATTTTAATCTTTAATGACCTGTGGTCTGTCATCCAGTGTTTTCCTTCCAGGTAAATTCAGTTATGTACATGAAAAACTTTTTAAAATGGCACTTTTTGGAACCAAATCTGTTCTTTAAAAAAGAAAAGAAAATATAAATTCCAAAGCTGCTTTTGATAATGTTTTCATTCACATGCAAAATCTTACCTTTTCTTATGAACTATATTTAGTAAATGTATTTTAGTGTTTGTGTGAATGTGTTTTGTTTGTCATCTAAATTGTAGTTCAGCATAAATCTTTGATCCAGTATAAATACTGCATACCCATTAAATTGGGATCAAAAAATTAAGTAACCTAGCTTTAGAATATAAAACATGACATGTATATAACTACATTGCCATTTATCTATAAAATTTTATACATGCAGAAATTTCTTCCTCTTAAAAATAATTTTATTTTTGTCTTGTATATGGAATTTGTGCTAGAGTTTGTTGCTAGTATAAATTGCTGTTGATCTGATATTTTTGGTGTTAATATAAGGTGGTTCTTTTTTCCCGTGACCTTATGAATTGTATTTATTTTAAGATGTTTATATTTACGTGTGTTCTGCCAAAGGAATGGTCTGATTTAAGATATGTATGTTGGGGTCATACTGTTCTGTATCAAAAATTAAAACAAAATAACTTCTACCTTTTTTTGGTATATTAGAATTCCTGAAAATTTATAATAGAACTAATTTTATAATACAGAGACTACCCCTAGGTATTAAAATATATGAACTGGAATATGTTTGTGAAAAATGTACAGCCAGCCAATATTATTTTTTAGTTTGATAATTTACAAAATTACTTGGTTATTTATTAATTAAAATGTTTGTCATTTAGGATTTGAGATTATTTGGAGATACGTTGTCATCTTACACTGTTTCAGGTAGCTTATATTTAACTATATAACAAATTTTACTATATGTTGAAGATAATTATAAAATTTTAACTTTTGACTTAAAAATTTGTGAATGTTTAAAAAATATATGGGTTGAGCTCGGGCTATAGCTCAGTGGTAGGAGTAGAGCATGTGTTCTTAGCATGCTCAAGGCTAGATTGATCCCTAGCACTGCAAAAAATATGTATGGCTTAGGAAGTATTACAAAACCATTTCTTAGTGAAAACCATAATGTTAATACTTCTGAATTCTAGGAGAGGACTTATTGAATTGTCATGGTGAGAATGCTGAAGTTATTTTTAGAAGTAATAAATTATAAATAATATAGCATTGATTTAGGATTTGCTTCTGTCAAAGGAAGTTTTCTTAATATCAGGTTTAGTCAGTAAATGAGAGGACTCAATTTGGTATTTTGTTGTTTGATTTAGTTTTGTTTTGAAGATTAAAGATTTAAAAAAAATTTTCCAGCTGAGATAATAATTCTAATTTTATCAAACTGTTCGAATTTGAATTTTTTTTTAAACCTTCCTGGTTCTGAAAGAGAAATTATATTGATTACATAGTAAAGTCAGTTGAATAACACCCCTCCCCATTTTTGTCTACCTCAACACCAGCATGTCACTTAGAAGGGCAGACTGTTATTTTAATTGGAAGTAGATTCTGCAGATGCAGTAGAAGTCATGCTGGACTTAAGGGTGGGGTCTGAATCTAAGACTAATGCCCTTATCTGAAGCAAAGACTGTGATGCAGTAGATGAGGCCACAGGTGAAGGTGGAGACGCAGTGGGAGCTGTGCTGTGACAGGCTGCCTGGGACCACCAGAAGCTGGAAGAGGGATTCGATTCTTCCCTGGAGCCTTCGGAGGGATTGTAGCCCTGCTGACCCTCCATTACAGACTTCTAGCCTTCAAAACTGAGATAAAATAAATTTGTCTTTTTAAGCCTCCAGTATATGATACTTTATTACATAGTCCTAGGAAACTAATAAGCATGAGTGAGTATACAATGAATTCTTTGTACTAAGCCCTTGGAACTTTTGTGAGATTGCTCCATATTGGTGCAGATGACATTGGTGGAGATGCTACTGAGAGATGACAGTAGTCCAGTAGCAGTGTTTTTATCTTGTCCAAACTATAGTTGCATTTCATGAAAAGATGACACAAAGTCCTCTGTTAATCCCTATTTTACTGATTTTTAATCTCACATTCACATTTCAGTAATTGATTTTTCTTATGCTGAAGTTGTGCACTGTTAAGGCTGTAATTCTTTGCATTTTCTGTCTGTGCTTCCCTATCTTGAGTGGTATTTAATGGGGGGGGATGGTCAAAGGCAAACGGCAGAGAAGCAACAGAAAAGCAGGGTGGATGTTACCTACAAAAGCTGCTGGGGAAGGGATTTCTCTTATTTTATATCAGTGAGGGGAGTTAAGGGTTTTCTACTATTTCAAAGATAGAAAGTGATCTGTATACTTTTATAAGCCAGCTGCCTCTCAAAAGAAAAAAAAAATTGAGATGAAATTCATGTAATAAAGTTAACCACATTAAAATATACCATTTTCATGGCGTTTAGTACATACATGCACTGCATCTAGTTTGAATAGTGGAACTTTTTCTGTTTGGCTTCTTTCTTTTAGGAGCTTCATTTACTTGCTGTGATGTTTTGCTCTCCATTTCTAGTGTAGCATATGTCAGTAGTGCATTTCCTTTCCTGGCTGAATTGTTGCATTTTATGTCAACAGTTTATCTGAGCTATTGAGCTGTTTACCTTTTTTGACTATTGTAAGTAATGCCACAGTGAGTATGTGTGTATGTATTTGAGGAACATCTTTCAGTTGTAAGTACATACTTTAAGAGAACCAGTTCATACGGTAATTTTCTGTTTAAGTTTTGAGGCACTGTTAAACTTTTCCATTTCACACCAGTACTGCATGAGAACTCCAAATTCTCCACCCCCTCCTCAATACTAGCTTTTTTCCTTTTTTAATTTATAGCCATCCTGGACTGGGAGATAGCTCGGTGGTCTAAGTGCCTGGTTGGCAAGCACAAGAACCCATGTTTTTTTTTTGTGTGTGTGTATGTGTGTGTGGCCAGCTCAGCCCGCCTGGGGGCGGGGCTGGCTGGCATGTGGTGCTGGGGGATTGAACCATGGTCCATGTGCTTTGCTAAGCTTGTTCTAAGTAGGTGCTTTAGACCACTGAGCCATCTCACCAGACCCGAAAGAATCCATGTTTTATCTCTGTTACCCCATGCTATGCTGGCCCCAGAACTCCAGGTGTACCATGCTGGCCACTGAAACGGCATGGTGATACACACCTGTAATCCCAGCTCTGTGTAGGCTGAGATGGGAAGATTACTATGAGACCCTGTACCAGAAAAATTTTGTTTTGAAAAAATTATGGCCATCCTGGTGGTGTGAAGGCATACCTCTCTGTAGTTTTATTTGCAAGGTGAGTGATACTTAGCACATTTTCATGTGTTTATTGGCATTTTTACATTTCATTGGGGGAAAAGTCTTAAGTCCTTTACCCAAGGAATTTTCATCAGAGTATCTTTTTTGTGTTCAGTGGTAGCAGCTGTTTGTATATTTTTGATACTAGATCCTTACCGCATCCTTTATATATAAACATTTGCTTGTGTTACATAAGTTGGCTTTGGTTGTTCTCACCCCATCTCTCACCCACTTCTGAGACACTTCTGAGACAGGGTTTCCCTGTGTTGCCTGGGCTGATCTCAAACTGTCTTCCTTAGCCTCCTTTTTATTTTCTTGATGATGTCCTTTTTTGATCCATCAAATTTTTTGTTAAACCCAATTTTTTCTTTTGTTGCTCTTGTTTTCTGTATTATATGAATACATTGGGGCTGGGGATGTAGGTCAGTGGCACAAATGCCTGCCTTGCAAGCTCAAGGTCCTAAGTTCAATTCCTAGTACCAAAGGAAAAAAAAAAAAAAGCCAAATCTCCAATATTATAATTTTCCCTATTTTTCTGAGTTGTGTGTATATATTTTGTTCTTGTAATTAAGTTTTTGGTCCATTTCAAGTTACTTTTTTACATGGCTGGAGGTATAGGGACCAGCTTTTTGTATACGTAGTTGTCTCAGTACCATTTGTTGAAGGGACTGTTCTTCCAGCAGTTGCTTTTTGACACCACTTAAGGGTGGTCAATTCTAGGGTCTCTGTTATTGGAACCATCCTACTAGCCTATTTTGAAATTATTTCCTTATTTTATCTTTTTCTTATTAAAATTAATAAAAAAAAAATTCCAGGATCTCCATTGTCCAGCTTTGATTCAGAAAACCTGTAGCTGTGAAGTTTCAGTTCTAGGTGGTAGAGTTGTCATCAGCTTATTTGTATCGGACAAGCCATGATCAAAGTATTTGGTGAATATTACAATTTTTAAAAATTATTACAGTAAAGAAATTACCATTGATCCTCTCAACTTATTTGCCCTTGTTTCAGAAACATTCTTACCACTTTGTGAAGCAGTTCTGGAAAGACTCTTTAGTGTTCTTGTAATGTATGCAGTGAAAGCTGCCTCTGAGTGCTGCCCAGTGGCAAGGCAGGCCCTTAGCATTAGGGCGCGTACCCATTCTCTGTGTTTCCCAGATTGGCCACCGTGTGACTTTAGTCTTCCTCAGAGTCAAAATGATCATGAAAGATGAACATTCTGGGTCAATCCAGGACAGTGTGGTAGCCGTGACTGCACAAACCAGTGACTCCAATGGAAGAGAACTTCAGAATTCCCTCGAAGTGGCAAGAAAGTAGGGGTACATGTATTCAATTAAGGGGCAGTATTTTGGAGAGTAATGCAATGTGATTTTGTTATTAAAAATTACTACTTGGGGCCGGGGAGATGGCTCAGTGGAGTAAGCACTCACCTGGCAAGTGCAAGGGCCTGAGTTCAATCCTTGGTTCCACCAAAAAAAAAAAAAAAAAATTACAACTCACTTTAGTTTTTTATCAGACTCTGTATGTGTAAAGGGGAGACAGTGGACAGTTCTTTATGTAGAGATGACCCATGCAGATCAGTAAGGAAATGAAAATGTCACATTAGTCCTCTAAGCAGTTGTGAAAAGTACATGATCTAAATGAGACGAAGTACTTCAGCTGCAAATAATTTTTTTTTTTTTTTTCCAGTACCAGGGATCAAACTTGGTACCTTTTGCTTGTCAGGCAGGTGCTTATGCCACTGAGCTATACCCCTGCAAATCTATCATTCTTTCCTGGGAGACCTTTCTCAGGGATTTTCATCTACACATCATTGGCAAGGATTGTGTCAGAAAGCCTGCAAAAGTGATGACTCTGCTTTCTAACTTCTCTACAGAGACGGAGAAGGAAGATGGTGTGAAATGTAGGGGGAGCCGTTCTGAGGTGTCTACCACAGGGACAGACCTGTTCAATAGTGTCTACAATTTGATGTTACTATTTGTGTGCCTGGGAAATACACTTGCAGTTGAATTAGTCTGTTATAATTCCATGATCAAATAAGCCATTTAAGAGGTCCTATTACAGACACACCATAGTTTTTAGTCAAAGCATTACTATTAATTAGGGGTGAGGCAATAGCTCAGTGGCATGGCTCCTGCCTGGCAAGTGCATGGTCCTGAGTTTGATTCCTGGTACAAAAAAAAAAAAAAAAAAAAAAAAAAAAAAAAATACATTAACATCTGACTGATTGTAACTAGAACTTTTTTTTTTTTTTAAATGATACAAGATGGGCCCTGGAAATGGACATGGGAATAAAAGCTTCAAACTGCCTCTGTCTATTCTATTTGATAAGATCTGGCTCATTCAGGGTGGTATGGCTGTAGATTTCTATTTGAGACATAAAAAAATAAGATGTGTTAGCTTTTGTTCACTCAGCAGTGTGATGTACTGAGGATACACAGAATTTGCATTGGCAAAGCTGAGTAACATTTACCGATTCACTATGCGCAGACTAGCTGTGTAACACTGGAAGCGTTGTGTTTTGCCTTTAGAACTCTTGTTCATATGCATTGTCATTAAATTTTCTTAAATACCTGCATTGAAGTGAAAGGAGAAAGAGGTTGAGTAAATGTCACAAGGACATAGTAGCAAAACTGTGATAATAGGTGAGTTCTGTTTGTCAGTAATGCGCGTGCTTGTCCTAGAAATGACTTAGCTAGAAATAGTGAACATATTAATGTTGAATCTCTGCACCTCCTTCCTTTCCATGATATGGATGAGCTCCCAAATGGGTTGTGTGGATATAGGATGAATGAAGGGAAGAGTGTAAGAGTGGGTGGCTTTGTGTTCTTTTTCTTTTGGGGGTTATAGAAAGGTGCAGAATTGGGGATTGAACCCAGGGCCTTGCACATGCTAGGCAAGTGCACTGAGTTACATCCTGAGCCCTTGCTTAAATTTTTATTTTGACTTAACATAGGGTCTCACTGCATTGCCTAGATGGCTTTGAAGTTCCAGGCCTTCTGCACTGTCATTGAATTCTCTTAAATACCTTCATTGAAGTAAAGGGAGAAAGAGGTTGAGTAAGCGTCACAAAGATGTAGTAGCAAAACTGTGAAAAAGATATCTATGTCTATATCTGCCTCCCATGTAGCTGGGATTACAGCCTTGTGCTATTGTGCCTGGATTAATGTTGAGCTTTATTATGTTTTTGCCTTACATGTATGATTATTATCATTCTGTTTTAACATTTCTGAAGTAAGGATTTATTTTATAGTGGACAAGCCCAGGGATATAGCTCAGTGGTATAGAGCTTGCCTGCCTGGTTCTGAGTTTGATTTCTGGCACCAAAGAAAAGCCCCACAAAAAGCCAGTGGATGAGAATGTATTGTAAGATTTAGAAATGACAGAAAGTAACATTTTAACTATCAGGAGTCAAGGGGACCAGGGTTCAGCCAAAATGTCATTTTGCTGTCCAAGTCTTGCCAGTG